TTCAAGCTTACTGACTTAAAACCCGACCAATCTGAGCTTAAAATCTTTTGCTAGAGATAATTCTTTACATTCTATCAGCTAACAAGTTTGCAAAGGCAAAGTGAAATCAAAACAAGGACAAAGAAACTTTTCACAGATTTATAGCTGAAAATAGGGAGAAGAAAATAGTTTGCTAGAAATACAATTAGATCGTAAAGATATAAAGAAAAATGAGGACTCTAAATTTACAGAAATTTTTTTCTTTCTTTTTCCTTTCTACTGGTCTTGTATCCAAAGAGACGTGGGGCTCAAAGTTTGAGCGCACCTAGGCAGATCAGGCTAAAAATATATGACAGCCACAGGTGCATCAAGCAACTTCCAACCATAGCAGAGCTGCTATACTTCGCTCTAACTAACTGAAGAAATGACTACTTCGCAAGAGCCATCACAAACAACCCTTGCCATAGATATGTCCAGTTGGCTAACCAAGCAAAAACTTGAACACATTACTCGATGAAATAATGCCTTCTACACGCTTGCTACCAACCTCCACTATGACAAGTCTCCTAACCCCTGCAAGAGTGCAATAGGGGGTGAATGTTTATCACCTTCAAGTACTAGAGTCTAACAAATGGATTTTCCAAAAAATAAACTTGCCTTAGACTCAGATTACAGCACCCTAAAATTAAATGCTGGAAATAGAACAAGGGCGGGAAACAAGAAAACTGGACCAAAATAGCAAAAAGTCATATTGGTTAGACATCATGAACTAAAATCATTTAGATGACTAACAAGGCCTAAGTGCAGAAATCGTGCAGGTATCATCTGCTGAAACATAAGAATGAGATAACAGCAGTCCATCCAGTTATTTATACCCTGTAAGCTTTTTTACATTCCGCCTCCTTGGTCTAAAACAGAGATTACATACAGACCATAAATAAGACGAAAAAGAAAATTACCAGGAAGTGCCAGCCGCTCCACCACTTTATGCAATGGATCAGATCGCAAACACATCTGGTACCTCTGCCCATTGTAACCATAAAGGAGCATTTGCATCTTGGCCCCGTTGTAATGCCCATTGTAACCACAGTTGTCAGCTTTGAGCAAGATTTCAACTTTCAAGATCAATAATCAGAGATGACTTGCACATTGATAACTTTTAATACTATATGCAGTTTTTTTTTTTCATTGTGAACAACATTTTTTGCACGTCACAAAGGACATAAGAGCACAAGAATATGGATGACCGCCTCCAACTACAAATTCCAGGAAAGTCAACTTTGAATTCCTAAGAAATTCGAGGATCGAAATTTTCAGCAACAAAACCTTAGTAGAGTTTAATAAATGTTTCAGAATTTTTGTAATAATTTTAGAATTTTCTCATGTTTAACTAATATTAATGTACAATTTCATCACTTCATGAAGTCAATGCAAGTATACTTTGATTAAAGTTAAACTTGCGGACTTGAAAAGTGGAAGGAAATCAAACAACCGGACAGACCAGAAACAAGAAACTCTAATCCACACCGCGATCAATTACAGATGACTGATTTGTGCGCAAATTGACCAGGTAAATGAAAACCAGTCAAATAGCTTACAAGTAAAAACAGATCATCCATCAATACCAATGCCTCCCACGGTATAGAACTCTACAATCACCCACACAGGACAAAGCAATAGAGAAAATGAAAGGCAAGTAAAAAGACCCTAACAGATCAGCAGAAGAAGAGGCTGACAACCATGCAAACAATCCCAAAAGAAGTCAAGACGAAAAGCTAAACCATCAGCAGAAAACCAGAAACACAACAAATAAAGGACAAGAAAGAAAAAGAGCAACCAAAAAAGGGGCTAACAACCACACAGCCCCAAAAATGTCAAGATAGCCAATTAAATCATCAGTAGAAAACTGAAAACACAACTTATAAAAGACAAGGCAAATGAAAAACTAGAGATTAAACCGGATCATAGAACCTGAGAAAAATTCTACTTTCAAAGAGACAATAAGAAACATCAAGGGGGATTACTCTTTTGTGAAGAAATTGCAGGATGAAATTGGGAAGATTTGGTGGATTTGGAGAAAGGAGAGATAAGGTTTGATTTTGAGAAATAGTTGTGGCTTGAATTTTGAATAGCCGAATGGGTGTGCGATGTTGTGTTGTGTAGAATGAGGTCGCATCTATATATATATACACATGAATGTAGCTATTTTAATCACAATATTTCTTATTCCTATGTGATATGCTTGATTGAAAAGAATTAACGAGTTATTGATCATTTGGATTTTATCCATACTAATCCTATTTGGATTATATTATGTGTTTAAAATTTATCTTTAATTTTAAAATAACTTTAAAAGACAACTAATCTTAATTAATCTTATCTTAATGATAGCCACTTTCCATCAAATTATTACAATGATTATATTACATATTTAAAAATTATTTTTAATTTTAAAATAGGTTTAAAAAATAACTAATCTTATCTTAATGATATCTGTTTTCTACTAAATTATTACATACAAGTATAGTAAAACCTTTTTAAATCACAATTATTGAAATCTTACATTCCCATAAATTACTTCCTTTCTTTACCATAATCTTATCTTAATGATATCCGTTTTTTACCAAATTATTATATAGAAGCATAGTCAAATCTTTTTAAATCACAATTATTGAAATCTTACATATCCTATAAATTACTTCCTTTAATCACCATATCATTGATTAGGATTCAAATTGTCCAACATCTTTTCTCTTAATTTTGAATTAACTTAGTGTAAAAAAGAATTAACTGTTACACTGATAGATTTATCAATATTTTTAGAAACTGAATATTTATTTACGTAGAAAAAATGGATAGCTAGATCTTTTTCTACTTAATTAAATATGAATATATAGTTCTAGGTTTATGATCATTATAAAAATTTAAATTATCTAAAAGAATATTTATAAAAAAGAATATCTACTAAGTTTTTGATATGAGGTACATTATTTGATGTATACTATCATATTATAGTAAAAGTATGTAAACAATTTTTTTTTTTGGCTAACCCCCTCCACGGGGAGGGATGCCACCCCCGCTTTTATTCATAAACCTCGAAGTACAAAAGAAGCCAAATTACAATGTTTCTTGCATATAGAAACAGCTTCCATGCTATCTAGGCTAATTCCTCCACGAGCCAGCCTCGGCCATTCATTCCAATGCTCATAGAGCTTAATAGTATGGTGGGGCTGTGCTACCCCGACATTAGCCATAATATCTGCCACCTTATTTAACTCTCTGAAATAATGGACAAGCCTCGGCGGATCTCCTGCCAACTTCCATATTTGCCGGACCTCCCAGCGGATATGCCAAGGACAGTGAAGCTGGCGTTGAAGAATGCCCACCAAAACCAGAGAATCCAGTTGAATGCTAACATTCGTGAACCCCTTTTGAGCACATATCTGAAGCCCCGTTAGAAGAGCCAGCGTTTCTGCCTGGAGGCTAGATGTCACTCCAAAAATAGCCGAGAACCCCACCATGGGGCGCCCCAACGGATCCCGTAGCACTCCTCCGCCACCATGTGGCCCAGGATTACCCTTGGAGCAGCCATCCGTGTTCAGGGTAAGCGCTCCCCTTGCAGCTGGCTCCCAACAAACAAGTTTGAGCTCGAAACGCTGCCCCGACTGAGATGACCAATCGCACAACTGCAAAAATGACCGAGCCCCAACATGCTGCTTGAACTACCCTTCAAGGAGCAATTTGGTCTCCAAAAAAATATCCTGGCAAATAGAAGGGGGATGCGGTTGAATGCCCTCAAAAACTACTCTATTCCTAGCCTTCCAAATATGCCAACAAAGTATGCTCGGGAGAGTATGATAAAGAGCTCGCTGCCTTTCCGATCGTGGCCACGCCAACCACCAAGAAGCCAGATGGCCCCACACAAACACACAACCCCCCAAGAATGTAAACAATTTTTTAAAAAATAGTAAATAATTGAACATTTAATATACATTAATTTTTTAAAATTAACATGAATGAACATGTAGAACTAATGTTAATTTTTATATTTAAATTATTGGTATTTGTATAAATTCACAATAAATAAAAAGTATTTAAAAATTAGTAAATAATTGAACATTTAAAAGACATTAATTTTTTAGAATTAACATATGAACATGTAAAAATGTTGTTAATTATTATATTTAAATTATTTATATTTGTATAAATTCACAATAAATAAAAAAAGACCATACTAAGGCATGGGCAAAATTCTAGTTTGTGAGATACGATCTCATTATTCCTTTTTTTAATCAAGGGAATCGAAAAATTGAAAATATGGTGTTCGCATTCGAGGAATGCGAACTTAGCCAACCAAGTTCGTATTTACTAAAAGTGAGCGCTTTTGGAGTCAAAATAGCCAACCTAAAATACCCTATATGTGGAATTAAATTTGATTTTCATAATAATTTTAGAATTTTCTCCACTATTTCTATGCTATCAAAACTATCTAACTCTAATTAAAATTTGATCTAAAACCAGAAGAAATAAACACAAAGGAGTACATAATAGAATCTATACAGGACCTCTTCCAAACACTGATGGTCCAAACCCCATTCAAGGACTATGTCAGGATGGGGATTAATTGCATTAAATGTTGAGCTGATTGAATTGTAAATGAGGACAAAATGATGTAGTTTTTAGAATTAGCTTTACTTGGGGTGGATAAGTCGGTTAATGACCAACTACTAGAATTGTTATGATTTGTTATAAATAGTGGGGCCTACAATTGTACAATAACAGATTTTTGGCAATAACATATTCATCAATCTCTATCCCTTCCTCTCTAATTCTCTCCCTCATCTGCTCTTCTTCCGTTTCTTCTTTCTACTCTTCTGGAATAGTTATCCGCCTAGATTGATTCAGGAATTTCACTTGAGTTCCTGACAATTGGTAATCAGAGCTGTAGATCCTTGGAGCTTATCTCGCAAAACCATGGCAGAAAGCATTAGATTTAGAATGTTAGAGGATCAAGTAAAAAAACAAGAAATCAAACTTCAGGAATTGGTGGAATCTTTGCACTCATCCCAGTCTGAGCAACAATAGATTAGGAATGAGCTGTAAATGGAGCTTGAAGAAAACAACAGACGGATGGAGAATCTTCCAACACGAATGGAGCACAATTTCAACAAAATCTTGGAGCAAAAATTCAATAATCTTCTACTAAAGATGACCCCTGGGAAGGATAAGGCAACAGAAGGGGACGACAGAGTGATGATAGATCAGACACCAATTTTGCCAACTCCACTAGCTCATCAGAGGTTGCAAACGGAAGGGCAGGTTCATAAAACCTTCAAGAAAGATTGGAGTAAGTTTCAAATTCCAAATCCTCCTAAGATTGATTTACAATTGTTTACTGGAGAGAATCCTAGAGATTAGTTGCGCAAATGCAACAAGTATTTTTTGTACTATCAAGTTCCAGAGGAACAGAAAATTGAAGTAATTGAAATGTATTTAGAAGGTAAAGCTGACAAATGATTTCAGGAGTAAAAATTGAGAAGCATAGACTGAGTTGGGAAGAATTTGGGGAACTATTGTGTAGGAGGTTTAATGATAGAACTTGCAAGGATGTAGTGGAAGAGTTTAATAAACTGCAGCAAGTAGGTAATGTTGAGGACTATCAAGAGAAATTTGAAGAACTGAAACCCTTGTTGTTGATCAAAAAGCGAAATCTTGATGAAAACTATTTCATCTCTAGCTTCAGAAGTGGGTTAAAGGAGGAAATCAAACATATGGTCAGGATGTTGAAACCTACTACATTAACTGAAGCTTTTGAGTTGTCTCAGTGGCAAGAGTACACCTTAACAATCTAGAATAGGAGTTCTAAACAAAATACCAAACATCTGGGGAAGCATAGATTGGGTATGACAATGAGTAATACCATAGCTGCAGGAATTAACTCGTATAAAGTTCCTATCAATAGTACTTCCAAACAACCTACGTTTAGAAATTCACAAGAGGATGCAAGAGATTTAAAGAAGATCTCAGCACAGGAGATGCAGCATAGAAGAAATAATGGACAATGTTTCAAATGTGGGGAAAACCAGTGTAAGGTCGGTTATTCAAACTGCATGTTATTGGAAGAGGAGAATGATTCTGCATTTGAAGATGCGTTGGGAAAACAGGATGAACAAATTGGAAATCTTAGGCAGACTATGGAAATGTCCTTACATGCCATATTTTGAAGCCTTAAAAAGAAAAACAATCACACTCACAGGTATTCTTGATGGAGAAGAAGTACTAATACTGGTAGATACTGGGAGCTTAGACAGCTATATCAGTAGTGAGTTAGTCATTAGAATGGGCGTTAATTACCAATGGATTGATCAGCCCTTCTCTGTCATCATGGTAAATGGAACATGTGTAACCAGCAATGCTATTTGTCCTGATATGCACTAGAGGATTAACCAACACAATTTTTTGTTTAACCTCAAGGTAATGGAACTTGGGGGTTGGGATATAATATTGGGAGTGGATTGGATGACACACTTTAGCCCCATCACATTTGACTTCCAACAGCTCAGAATATCATTGCACCATGAAGGAGATGGGATTCATTTGCATGGACAAGCAGAAGATTGTGATATGGACCTGATCAGAGGAAAAGATTTGAGGAAGTTCACTGAGTACAAGCGACAGATGTGCATGGCAATGAACTCACAAAATAATCAAGAGGAAGGAATATAACCTACACCACAAGAAGTAGTAAAACTGCTACAGGAATATGAAGATGTATTTCAGACTCCAAATTCCTTGCCTCCAAGCAGAAGTGTAAACCATGAGACACCCCCTCAAACTAGAAGCACAACCATTTAAACTGAACCCTTATGAGTACCCTTATTGCCACAAGAAGGAAATAGAGAAACAGGTTGCTGAGATGCTTCAGAAAGGCATAGTTAAATACAGCAACAGTCCCTTTGCTTCTCCTGTATTGCTAGTCAAGAAGAAAGAAGGAACTCGAAGATTTTGTGTAGACTACTAGAACTTGAATGAGATCACTGTCAAGGACAGGTTTCCAATACCTAATGTGAATGAGCTATTGGATGAGCTAACAGGTTTTGTGTTCAAAACCAAATTGGATTTGACACCTGATTAGGATTAAACCACGGACACTTTCAAGACAACCTTTCCAGTTGGATTCCTAGTCAGGCCCTTTGGGCTTACAAATGCTCCTGCTAAATTCCAGTTGTTGATGAACTAGGTATTTCAACCTTAAGGAAATTTGTTTTGGTCTTTTTGATGATATACTAGCATATAGTACTACAATGGAAGATCATATTCAGCATATGAGGACTGTATTGGGAATTTTGAGGGACAATCAACTATATGTAAAGAAGTCTAAGTGTGCAATTGCTCAAAAGAAAGTAAATTACCTGGGACACACTATCACTGATAATGGGGTCAGCATGGATGACTCTAAGGTCAATAGCATTTTATAGTGGCCAGTACCACAGTCTGTTAAAGAGTTGAGGGGATTTTTAGGACTAACGGGCTATTACAGAAGGTTTATAAGGCATTATGGTCTTATGTGTAAACCACTTACTGAGCTACTTAGGAAGGATAACTTTCAAATGGAACATGCAGGCACAAGCTTCTTTTAACCACCTTAAGAAATTGATATGCTCAGCCCCAGTTGTTAAGTTGCCAGATTTTTCAAGAAGGCTTTTATAGTTGAAACATATGCTAGTGGGGGAGACATTGGTGCAATTTTAATGCAGGAAGGGCACCCTATTGCTTTTTTGAGCAAGGCACTGTCAACTAAAAACTTGGGTCTATTAGTTTATGAGAAGGAACTACTTGCTCTGGTAATGGCAGTTACAAAATGGAGACACTATTTAGTTGGAAATCACTTTATCATCGGAACTAACCACTAGTCATTAAAGTATCTATTGGATCAAAAGCTAAACACTGAACTACATCCAAACTTCCATTTAGCTCCTATCTAGCCATTACCACTATTAAACCTGGGTGGATTGAAGAATTGCAAAAGAGTTATGAAGCTGATCCATACTGTCAAGGCATCATGGCTCAATTGCTACTAGATCCTAGCTCTCACTCTAAGTATACTTTGGTAGATGGGATACTGAAATACCAAGGTAAAATCTATGTTGGAAATGCAAATAATATTAGGAGTCAAATTATTCAAGCACTGCATGCCTCAGCAATAGGTGGTCACTCTGGTCAAAGAAACTGTTGGTAGAAAATTAAGGCATTGTTCTATTGGCTAGGAATGAACAGGAGTTGGTATCCTTTGAACAGAATTGTGATATATGCCAAAGGAACAAGTCTGAAAATGTTCCTTACCCTGGGTTATTGCAGGCAATTTCAAAACGTAAGCAATCATGGCCTCATATTTCTATGGATTTCATTGAGAGACTGCCTAAATCGCAGGGGTATGACACTATATTGGTTGTGATTGACAGGCTCACAAAGTTTGGTCACTTCATCATACTTACTCATCCATTCAAAGCAAAAAATGTTGCTCAAGTCTTCTTGGACAACATTTACAAGATACATGGCTTACCATAGTCCATTATAACTGATAGAGACAAGGTCTTTACCAGTGGATTCTGGAAGGAACTCTTCAAAATAATTGGGACTGAGTTGCATTATTCATCATCTTACCACCCTCAATCTGATGGTCAGAGTGAAAGGCTCAATCAGTGTGTGGAAAACTACCTAAGGTGCATGACAGGAGAACTTCCTTCAAGTGGAGCAAATGGCTGTCCTTAGCTGATTGCTGGTACAATTCCTCCTATCATTCCAGTATTATAACATGACTCCTATTGAAGCATTGTTTGGGTATAAGCTAGTGCCCCTACCATTGGGGCCGTATTTAGATTCAATGATATCTGCAGCGTCCAATATGGTCTAGGAGAGAAATAGAATATCAATTTGCATCAGAGAAAACTTAGTTAAGGCTCAATAGAGGATGAAACACTATGCTAATCAGCACAGAACTGAAAGGGAATTCTCTGTAGGTGATTGGGTATTCCTGAAGCTTCAACCTTATAGGCATCAGACCGTGGCTGTTAGGAAATGTCTCAAGTTATCAACCAAATACTATGGTCCATTCCAGGTGGAGGAAAGGATTGGATCAGTAGCCTATAAGCTGAAATTACCAGCAGGCACAAAACTACACCTTGTGTTCCATGTGTCATGACTAAAAAAGAAATTGGGACCAATGCAAAATAGTTCACCTAAGCTGCCAGAGATACACACATAGGATTAGTGCCCATTGAAGCCAGAAGCAATCTTGAAGAGAAGAGTTATTCTACGAGATGGGAAGCCTGTTATTCAGTTCCTGATTTAAGGGAATCATTTGGATTATGAAGAAGCATCTTGGGAAGACAAGTCTTTTATTAAGTGACAGTTTCCTAATTTTTAGACTTGAGGACAAGTCTGCTTCTATGGGGAGGGAATTATCAGGGTGGGGATTAATTGCATTACATGTTGAGCTGATTGAATTGTTAATGAGAACAAAACATTGTAGTTTTTAGAATTAGCTTTACTTGGGGTGGTTAAGTCGGTTAATGACCAACTACTAGAATTGTTATGATTTGTTCGAAATAGTGGGGCCCACAATTGTACAATAACAGATTCATCACTTTCTCTCTCTATCCGTTCCTCTTTAATTCTCTCCCTCCTTTGCTCTTCTTCCATTTCTTCTTTCTACTCTTCTGGAATGGTCATCCGCCTAGCTTGATTCAGGAATGTCACTTGAGTTCCTAATAGAACAATGTCAAGTTCCGTGTTCTTGGGAATTTAGACCAAGACTCAATAATAAATCTCACAGCATTTATAATGTTATCTAGTACATTCACTGTCAATCTACTATTCTTGAAAACACAAGTATTCCGAGCTTGCCAAAGATGATAAATTGTAGCAACAAAAGCAAGTCTTCTCAATTGGTTGGCAAAAGAATTCAAGCAACAATCTACTGAACCTCACCCTACCAATCAAGAATCCCTCTATATAAAAAACACATCCTCCGAATTTTCATCCAAATACTACTAGAAAATGCACACTCAAAGAGTAGATGCTTCTTGGACCCATCCTTTCCATGACACAGTTCAAAAGTGGGGATAATAAGCTAGCTAATACCCCCGCCTTTGAACCTATCTTTTGTATTTAACCTTTGTCTCAGCAACAACCAACAAAAAAAAAAAAAAGCAAAACGAGGGATACATCTTTTTCGCCATACCATTTTCTTCCATTCCACCTATCCGCCAGTAGGGAATATCTTCTCCATAGCAAATTGTACAGAGATCTCACCACTATTAGAACCTAACCATTTAACATGGTTGGCTCAATGAGTGTTATCCAAGAGGCTTTATGGAGAAACTTGTTGCAAAGCAATGAACTCCTTAGTAAATCTCCTTCCATTTGAACTTATAACCGGCCAATCTTACTTGATCCGAAGTCCATCAACAATATGTGCCCTTTTTCAATCTATGTTTTTACATCACAAAGTTCCTAGAAAATCTCAAATATGGGACTCCAAGGTGTAGTAGCTAGTTAGAGTTTTCCCTTCTCAAGATTCCTAGTGAGAGTTTTCAATGCATTTTGATGGAATAGGTAGCTTCCTAACCATCTATGTTATTTAATTTCATTTTTCTAGTTTGTTAACTACCGATGTTGTTTTTAGTAATAATTCAAACATTTTTTATTACATGTACATGATGCCATCGGTATTGAGCTCAAATAAACAAACAAATATTCAATGCCATTGTACCTATCACAACTTACAAGTGCTCAAGCCTTCAAAGGCTGTCTTAGTCACATTGGGAAGGTTTTTTAACTCTTTTCTGTGGGATAAAATGCATGAAACTAAACGGATACATTGGGCATCTTGAGAGAGGATATGTTTCCCTACCGAGAAGGGTGGTTTGGGGGTTCAGACACTGGACGATATGGTTAAAGCCTTTTCCTGCAAACTATGGTGGCGATTACATCAACGTGGATCGATATGGTCGGATTTCATGTTCTCCATGTACATTAGGGATCGGTATCCATTGCATGCTGAAATAGCTGGACCAATAGGGACATGGAAAACGTTGTTGGGTATTCAGGGAATGGTTGAGTCTCAGATTCGATGGAGTTTAGGACCGGGTATGGTGGATTTTTGGCTGGACACTTGGTGTGATCGTGGTCCTCTAATTAATTTGGTTCTGCTGGATATGGAGAAACATCATTTTTTGGTAGCGAAGTTCTTCGGGCAGGAAGGTTGGAATGTTGACTGGCTGAAAAGGTGGTTACCGAGTTATCTAGTTGAGTCGATAATTGAGATACCTTTTGATCCTCAAGGGAAAGATCAAATCATGTGGGCCTTGTTGGAGACGGGACTTTTTCCGCTACGTTCGGCATGTGAATTGTGTCGACAAAGTAGAGGCTACTCCCCAGTTAATAAAATGATATGGAATAATGGTATTCCGGTGAAGATTTCTATTTTTGCTTGATGAAGTTTAAACAATTTGTTCCCTTGGATTATGCACTGCATCCAAGAGGTCTACCTTTGGCGTCTAGGTATTCCTGTTGTTCAGAGGAGGAGGAAACAATGTTGCATCTTTTTGCCTATGGTCCAGTTTCTGTGGAGGTTTGGTGGTATTTTGCTAATATATTTGGTATTCCTTATATGCCTTTTGAGGATCTACAGTTGCTGTGGATGACATGGTCTACATCGTTGCCTCTCATTCTGTCAAATCATATTAGATGCATTATTCCATTAGTGGTAGTTTGGTTTATTTGGCAAGGAAGGAATAAAGCGAGGTTTGAAAGGCACACCTTCTCCGCTTAGAGGGTAATTTTTGAGGTGGAAAAGTGTTTTAAGGATCTGGGCCGTGCAAAAAATTTGATAAGACATAGTTTTATGGGGATTTGGATTGCGATTGGGCGTGATTTGTCTCTTTGGTGCCCTATAAAAGGCAGATTGTTGTAGTGTTGTGGAGAAGACCTCTAGACATGCAGTATAAATTAAACACAGATGCTAGTGTGGTAAATGGTAGGGCAAGTGGAGGAAGGGTGATGTGGGATTCGGATGGCAGACTTACTTTTGCGTTCTATAAGGAATTTGGGGATGTTGGGGTCTTGTAGACTGAGGCTTTAGCAGTATTGAAGGGCTGCAAGTGTGTGCGCAAAGCGGGTTCAAGGGATTATGGTAGAGGTTGATTCTGCTGTGCTGATCTCATTGATTAAGTCTAGAGCACTTGGAGGGTGGAAATATTTCAATCTGCTGAGAAGGATTCAAGGACTTTTAGATGAGGTATCTATTTCCTTTGAACATGTCTTCTGGGAAGCAAATGTGGTTGTAGATAGGTTAGCTACCTTACGGGACTATTCTAGTACGATTTTTGAGTCTTATCAGCAATTGCCTACGGAGATTCGTGGATGCTTGGCTCTGGATGCTAGTGCATTCCCAGTGTTTAGACGGGTTTCTAGTTTGCTAGTTGGGATCAGGCGTTGCAAGTCTTCTCTTCAAACCACCGATTGTACCTGTTATCTTCCATTATTGGATAAATAAGGGAGTGCCACTGCTCCCTAAGTTTGGGGATCGTTTGGCAAAAAAAGGGGTAAACAACAAAAAGTCCCTTGTGGTATAACTATCTTACAAAAAATTCCCCTATGGTTTCAAATCATGCATGTTGGTACCTCATGGTTTGAAGTAATTTAAACATTGACAGAAATCGTTAAAACAAACGGTTTTAAGTGAAATGACAAAAATACCCTAATAATATAAGCAAAAAATAGCCTTTACAAACTGTTTTTAATTCAATAATTTCAATCACTAATAATATAAGCAAAAAATGTTGATTTTTACAAGTTTGGAGCAAATTTGAAGAAGAATCATTGTTGTTTTATTAAGGTATGAGGGGCAAAATAGGTATTTCATGTCAAAATTTGCCTTAAAAAACTATTTTTTTGGAAGAACCACGCTCATTTCGAGCTTGTTTACGTCGTCACACGCGTTAAATTTAACAATTTCCATTAATTTTTCACTTTACTTCAAACCATGAGGTACCGATATATATGATTTGAAACCATAAAAGATTTTTTTTGTAAGATAGCTATACTACAGGGGGCTTTTTTGTCGTTTACCAAAAAAAAAACAAACAGATCATATTCAAAAAATGTCTTCTTAGGAAACATCTGGTATGCTAAATGTCCAACTAAGTTGAGACAGTAACAAATTCTCTGCAACATTATTTTAATAAAGTGTGTGGAAGTGTAATTTTAATGTCTTTGGACGGCTTTGCTTTGCAAAGAGAAGCATATAAAAAAATACAAAAAATGTTCAGAGGCAAAAAAGCTGTGGGTTGCTAATTTGTGCTGCTCTTGAAAGTAATGAATGTGACTAAAACTGTACAATCTTGGTTGAACCAATAGTTCTATGTAAATTGAACTACTTAAATCATATTTAGCTAGTTCTAGATTTTAAACATTTCATATGGATGAATAAAAATTCTTAAAATTTTGACAAAAGCTAATGGTTATAATAATAATGATTAATTAGTAAGATGAAACTTTAAATTGTCACAAATTAGTCAATGACACGAAAAACTCTAAGATGTTAAAATTTTTCTAATATGAGTTAAAAACATTGTGAATGCAAACCATAAAAGATGCTTCATTAGTCCAAAATTTCGAGTTTTTGGCAATGTTTGATATGCTTTATCTAATATATTACCTAAATGCATAATTCTTTTTACATTAGCCGCTAAAGAAAATTTAGAAATTAGAAGTACAATAATGTGCAATAAATTTAGTTAAAAATTGCAAATCTACTTATAAGCTAGAACACGCATCTTTTAATCAATAATTGGAAAAATCGCCAATTTAGTCCTCAAACTATTTCACTAAAGCCGATTTGGTCCCTTAACATTTTATCGCATGAATTAAGACCTTTAACTAAAATTCTTGTATCATTTGAGGACTTATACGGTGTCACCACCCAAAACATATGTTTCTGTACCTAAACCAATGGCGGGGTAGGGGCATTTTTGGAAGAACAAAATATGATTTTCGACGGGAAGCAAGACATCGACCATTTTGAGACCAAATTGGGAGCAAAAGAGCAACAAGAGAATAGAGGAAGAAATTAGGGTTCTTCCACCTATTCCCAATTCAGGGTTTCAACTAAAATGTCTTCAAGTTTGTTCTTTGAAGTGCATAACAAATGGAGAAATTTGGATGCAGGATCGTCTAGCTCAGCTACAAATCAATCTGCAAGGAACGAGACATATGGAAGTTCGCATGTCAGACAATTTAGTAGAGGAAAGGCTGACTACTACAATGGAGAGGAAATCGTGGAGTGCTATTGCCAAGAATCCTGCAAAATAGTGTCTTCTTGAACTGCAGCAAATCCATCAAGAAGGTTCCATGGATATAGAAATTATGGTGTAATGAGGCCAGCAAAATGCTTAAATTTTAATAATTTTCGTAATGGTTGGGCTGTGTTTATTTATTTTTTATTACTAATGATGGATTAATTTTGAATGGAGACATCTCATTCTTGCAACTTTTTTTTTATGGTATGATCTGCCCTTGCCGGAGTATACGAAGAACACGATTGCTAAATTGTTAACGGAACTAAGGAAAGCCGAAAAAGACAATAGGGAAATGAGGATAAAAATTCAAAATTTGAAAAAAAAAATCCAAGATGTTGATGTTGGCACTGGTAGGAGGTTGCATCTTATTAATGGCAGTGTGGGTTCACAATGGAAGAAGAAGGCATGTGGAACTAGGACTCAAAATGCTACATTAAAAATAGTCTAGTTGCTGGAAAAAATAGCCTTTAGTAGGTTTAAGCTGATTGGGCATGTTGATAGAAAACTGTGTAGGTGCAAACTTGTGTAAGGTCAGGTTGGTATGCAATGGAATATTCTTGTTTGTAAAGATGCATTTGTTTATTCTTGTTCTTGGACATGATAATTTATATGCTATATCATGTAACTTTATCTTGTGTTAAAATTTGAAAAAAATTTGGACCGGGTTTAGGCTTAAAAATGAACAATCTCACCTGCCAACCAAATTGCCAGTTTAATACATACACAATATAAAAAACTAAAACCATGAATACATATTGTCAACTGCATTTCCAGCCATTAACAAAAGCACTTGATGAGGTTTTACCATGTGCCAAATTTTGATAAAATCTAAACACCCTATTTTCTGCAAGTATACAGGTCATTTATCGAGTATAGGGGATATTATGTGTAAATCCCACTGGGAAGAGCATCAATTACTGATAGTTTTCGAACTCCTTTATTATTTAAACTATCACAAGTGCAAGAAATTAAATCTACACTATGAACATAAGATAAAAGTAATAAAAATTACAATAGAAAGCTCCTAGGGCTGAGGAACTCCTCACTACTCTTGCAAATGAAATTATCGGTTAATTGAATGTTATCATTTTGGCTAATTATGGCGTAATTTTCTAATGTATGTGAAACCTACTCTCGTAGTGAATTAACTAAATATATAACTAAACCATACCTACTCTCATAATTATGAAATTAACTACAAGCTCATTTCTTCTATAAAATTACATGAAATAAATCACTAAAGCCACAAAAGTGCACCTCTATTCTTGTGGGTGTACTCTCTAGGTTTAGCACTTCCTAGAATTAGTATTAAACCCCAATTCTCACTGCAAACTTAACACCTTAAAATTATCATAATTAATGGCCAGTTAATCATGATTAGAAAAGCAAAAGTGACGAATAACTTGCTCAAAATAATATCATCAAATAACCAAGTAGACATCACTAACAAGATATAGAAAGTTCATTCATAACTCTAGGCATAAACTTTAGCAAAACATGAAGAACATGAAAATAAGATCCAAACTTATATTATAGTTAAACATGAATTCAAATACAAAAGAAAAAGTGATAGGAGAGAAGCCACTGTTGTCACATGAGATCCAAGCTCTCCATCTTTGCTCCTCAATTCTTCATCCACTTCTAGCTACAAGTACAAGATGGAAAAATTATACTAACTATACTATACTAAAATAATGAACTAAGAAAAACTAGTGAAGACTATCTCTAGCCTTCCAAAGTTATCAAAAAAGCTCTCCAAAGGCCTATATATGGAGGCTAAACTAACTCTTATGCAAAACACTAAAGTTGTAGCCTCTTGAGTTATCTTTTCAATGCTTCAAGAATCATTCAATTTGGAGCTCTGTTTATAGGTAAATGGCCAAAATACCCTCAACTGGTCAAAACTCTGTTTCAGTTTTTTACAACAGAAATGGCCGATTGAATTTCGACATTTTGATATGAAAACTCATGAACTAGATTTTTTTGTTTTCATAAGCAATATAGAGTTATGTGTTAGATTCAAAATGGTTCAAGAATCACCTTAATCAAATGCTTGTGGCTCAAGATATTGTCGAAATACCAACAGGTGTCAAAGCTGTCAAATATCCCTTTCTTTTACACTTGATTGCATTTCATCTTTGCACTTCATATTCTCTTTAAATCACTAAATATCTTCTCAATTAACTCCATTTGATGATTAAATCATTAAACCTAAAAAAATATGAAGTTTTCACCACTTTAATCCATAGAGATGCAATTTTTGACACTGAAACCACAAAATGTCAATCTTCACTAGAAACCTAGTTAATTAGCTATAAAAAAAATTAAAACACACTCCAAAACTAAATAGTAAAACACACTAAAAGCATACAAAATGTACACTTATCAGCCATCATTCACTGATGAAGTCAATTGTAACTTAACAAAAGCTAAACACAATTTTGGGTTCAACCATGTTAACAAAAGCTATACAAAATATTGGTTGACCCAAATAAGAACAGCACCACAAATTTTAGTCACGTTCTATCATCTTGGACAACAGCGAGCAGCAAGTTACAATTTTGGTCCTTTTGGAGATAGGCCTAGTAAGAGTGAAACTAAGTGGAGCTTCTTCATCGCACGTGCATGGTTAGTCATGTTGTGTTATTTCCAATTCATTTTCATCAGTCGGTTCATCTATAAGTCTATGAGCTTGCATATAATCAATAAGTATTATTCATTGGAATGACTTATGGTGCAAATGTAAAGTTCATTTCAATGCTAAAAACCTGCTTTCTGCTTGGTCCTTAACTTGTTTCCAACCGATTCAACATACGGACCATAAGCATCCATTTTCGCCTTCCTTATTCTCCAACCTGGTGCTTGTATAGAAGGATATGTCTTTTTGTTATGCCCTAGAGTGCGATAGAAGTAGCATTTGATATTCTTCTTCTTTAGTTCAGCAACTTTAGTGGAAAGTACTGGTTATTGCTATGTACTTGAAACTACAAAGCAAGAAGGCAAAAAAATATTGAATTTAAGTTAAGTAAATGAAACAAAACTTAATTATGACTAACCATATATCCTCAAAGTAATTAACCATTTTCTTGATGAACAGCAGCTTGTACGTCCACTTCAACTTATTAGGAAAATACTAACTTCAACGATTTATAAGCAGGCCAAGACTTACCTAAAATACTGGAGCTTTTCCTTGCTCTGCTATGCTGGCCGTAAACCAGCTTCTCCATTCGACTCTATTTCCTTTATCTAATCTCGCTCGTTTGGGGGCGATTTTACTCAGGAAAAGGCCTAATTTTGCTCACCTATTTCGCTTCAAAGGTTTCCCCCAATTTGGTCCCAAAACGGTCGATGTCTTGCTTCCTATAGAAAATCATATTTTGTGATTCCAAAAGTGCCCTTGCCTCGCCATTGGTCTAGATACAGAAACATATGTTTTGGGTGGCGACACCGTATAGGTTCTCAATTGGCACAAGAATTTTAGTTAAAGATCTTAATTCATGTGATAAAACGTTAAGGGACCAAATCGGTTTTAGTGCAATAGTTTGAGGATGAAATTGGCAATTTTCCCTTAATAATTTGATAGAATGAATAGTTCAAAACATGATAAATATCTATTAGTATTGCAACTATGAAGTAGATTTTTTTCCACATTTGATTAGCTATTTATGGTTATGTTTTATTTACTTTTGGGGAATAATCTCACTCCCTACTTTTCTATTGCAATTAATCTTATATGGCAAGTACTTGAGTGCCTAGCTACCTTCCTTATATTATTGAAGAATTGTTATTGACATAGCATAAATGAGTGAGTCTTTTCACGAAGTGAAACATACAAAACCTCTATAGGTGGCTATCCCATTTGCCGTCCCAACCAAGTAGAAGCTCCCTAGATTTAAGTTAGTATATCTGTTTGAGTTTTGTTCAATTTCATGTTCTTCACAATTTTGTTAATGCGTCAATTTTTAGCTATGTAGATATACATGTTCTCAAGCACCAAAAGCTTTTTTAAATAGGATTTGGATAATTAAGAATCTGCCAATAGGTACGGTTTTAGTACATGCCTCGAGATAATTCAGAGAAAACAATATGCACATGCCTCAAGAAAGCTTTCAACATGTCTCAAGTAACTATGAACGAACTAGTTAATGAAACCTTCACTAAAAATATGTTAACTTGGTTTTTGAACTAATAACCCATTAGCACCTTCGTATAGGATAGAAAATCCATCAAAAATATTTTTTCCATGTTTCTTATGTTATAAAATCTTGAAAAATTTAGAAAAAGGGACTTCTAGTTCTATTATGTGTACTAGTCAAGAATTTTCATAATTAAATAGCCAGTTTAATTATGTAAAGCAATTTGTTACAGTTATCATTTGAGATTACATAGTTATCCAAATTCAATAATATTGATCAAAGGTGATTATATAATTGAACATTTTTCAGAGTTATCAAGTTACATGTAGTGACTCTCACTTTTCTTGCCCTTAAGATGTATAATTTCTAATAGTAGTGGCAATATAGATAGCATCAATAAAACAATTTAAAGAGTTGAATAAGCTGCCTATAAGGATTGACATGTTACACAGGATACGTGGTCATCAAGTGATAAACCTAACCAAGATATATAATATGCTGAATCTATTTTCAGAAATCAATTGAGTGCAAATATAGTGGTAAAGATTTAGTACATCCTCAACAAAAATTCAGAGAAAATAAAGCCTACATACCTTAAGAAGGTAGCACATCTAACTCTAGTAACTTCTACACCAATCACTAATGAAATCTACATTAGAAATAATTTTGACTTGATTTTTCATCTTTTCTCCCCCAGTTCATGGCATGTCTATTTTTGAGCAAAACTCCTTTATTAATATGTTCCGTTTCTATAAATCTATGTTTCTAATGCTAGAACATTCTTAAAATTTCTAAAAAGGGGGACTCCAAGTTTGTTCTATTTGCTAACTATTTTGTAACCATGTATCTAGAAAATTGGATCAAATGATGGGATTTGGTAGTAACGATGAGCATACAAGATTTTAGTAGAGGTCTTGGGACATTCTACCATTCATCTACCATATATCTTGAAATTAATCTTAAACTATATATATAACAAGTTCGGTTTGTTATATTACACTTTTTGAAATTGAGTTTGCAATTTTCTTTTTCTTTCAGAAGTCTAATATTGTATT